GGCCCTGGTGCAGACTCCATGCCTGGTTGAATTATTTGCTCTGGAGGCACCCACACTGTGGACTGCAGTGTTAGTTTCTCTCCTGGATGATGTTTGAATCATTGCAAATGTCTTCTGTGTGATGATCAAAATGTAGTCACTGGGGTGCCTGGCTGCCATGGACAGACAGCATAACTGAGAAGGCAGCTCAGAACATCTCAAAAACTGCCTCCCGGGACTAGAGTGATAGCACAGCGGGCAGGGCATTTGCCTTGCACACGGCCAACCCGGGTTCGATTCCCAGTATCCCATATGGTCCCCTGAGCACCACCAGGACTGATTTCTGAGTGCAGAGCCAGGAGTAGCTCCTGAGCATTGCCGGGTGTGACCCAAAAAGGAAAAAAAAACTGCCTCCCTCCAGCTTCAGAAGGAAGGAGAGCCTAAGGCTGCACCCACACCCATTTGCATCCATTGGGCCCTGTGGAGGTGGACACAACCACAGGAGGTAACAAGGCACTCCCACTCTGCTGTGCTGCCAACAGAAAACCACCCATGGAAGCAGAGTGCCAGGGAAGTCAGAACTCTGTAAATTGTATTCTCAGCACATGAATGCACTTAGTGATGAGATTGTCTCAGCATGCAAACCCCATGTGGTCCGACCCACCATACATGGTCCAGCCCAATGCATAATGACCTGTCCACCACACAGGTCTGCCCACCACGCACAGGACTGCCTACTGCACATGGACTTGCTCATCCCTATGTAAGCCTACCCACAACACACAGGCCTGCCCACTCCCATGGGCTTGTTCACCTACATAAGAGCTTGTGGGGCAGCACCATACAGGAAGGGCATGGGCAGGCATTGAGTCCAGCTCAGCATGTGTCCAGCCCACCCTCAGGGCGCAACCCACTAGGATGTCTTAGGAGCAAGAGGCACCCAGCACAAGGTCTAACAGAGACAGCACTCTCTTGGAGATGGGGGTCAGCTACCTCTCCAAGGAGCCCTCGGCCTACAGGTGTGCCCTGAAGCTGTCCCTGCAGTGGAAGGTAGACAGTGCATGCCAGCAGGGACTCTGCAGCCCAACAAAGGCAGTGGCTGCTTCCTTACTTGGCCCATTCTGACACGTCTATAAAAAAAAAAAAAAGATGAGCCACACCCAGGAACTAAGAGTCTATAGGTGAAAAAATAAAATTGGGGTAAAATATCCAACACACCAGGCACCTCAGCAAGTTCTGGAAGCAGCGGCTCAAGGTGGGCTTGATGGGCAGCCTGAGTGAAGGGCAGCAGAAACACGACGCTGCAGGTCCAGGATTGGAAGCCTTTCCTGGAGGTTCATGGTGACTGAGAGCCACGTGGGCAAGGTGAGCAGCAAACAAGCAACAAAGGTGGGAGGGCAATGTGTGGGGGCACCACAGACAACAGAGAGGGCAAGTGGGCAGTGTGCATAGGCACATAGTGAGTGGGTGTGTGATATGGATAGTGAGTGGGCAACGGGTGGGCAGAGGAGTGGGCAGGCAGTGTGGACAAGGCAATAGTGTGTGTGTGTGTGTGTGTGTGTGTGTGTGTGTGTGTGTGTGTGTGTGCTGACTGCCCACCTGACCTGGGGAATAGGTTTCACAGCCCAGGAAATGCCATGAGGAGGGGAGTTCACAGAAGGCCCTGAAGAGGACCCCACAGCAACCAGCTCTGTAGGGCCCCCAAACTGCCCTATGAGCTAGACCCACACACCCTGCCTAGCACTCTTGCTCAGAGATGCCAATGCCAACCGAGATGTGGATATAACCAAAAGGTCAATCTGGTAGCTTTCAAGGTGCAGGTGATATAGCCCCGACTGACAGCTCATGGCAAAAGCACCTTTGTGAGTCCTGATCCCTTCAGACTGAGAGACCTTAGCTCAGTACTGACCCTCAAAATGACATGGGCCCAGATGGCGCTACTGTAGACGCCACCCAAAGGCTCATGGACACAACACAGAGGAGCTCCGGAAAAAGGGGCTGACAGTTCTGGTGGTAAAGAAAGTACATCAGCATGGATGCTTTTGCTACCATTCGGCCAGCCCAGAGAGCAGTGGCCACAAGGACTGAGATGGGCAGGACATATACTACAGATTTCCTACAAGTGGATGGAACATGCAGGAAGAAGAGAATCCCTTTGTGTACTGAACAAAAATTAAGCCCCCCTGTATACCAGCACAAGTAGGTGCTTAGGACACAGTGGCAAATGAGCCTGGGGTGTTGGATAACATTGGGTTGATTTTGCTCTGCAGGGAGCTTAGGTTTATTGAGCTACTCCCACAACAGTGCCCCAATTCCATCAAGCACTAATCATACTATATTGCCTTCTCTTTCCTTTATATCCTTTGCATGGTTTATTTAGCAATGCCCTTTTTGTATAGACACAGGAAGACAGTTGATGCTATGCTTTTGTAGCATGGGAGTTAACTGACTCTGACTAATATTTACTCCTGGGTATCCATCATATTTACTTGACTTAAGCTTCAGTTACCTTTACTTCCTAACCCCCCCAAAAAAGGAGGGTCCCAACGAAGGAACTGAATGGACCCAGGGCAAGCTGTAAGCTATCCTGGCATCAAAAGGGGATAAGATAAGCACCATAAGTTAAGAACGTGGTCATGGGACAAACTCTGTCACGACCCCAAAAAAGTAATCTTGCTGGGGTTAGGGAAGACTAACCTTCCTGAGGATTGTGGTCTAGAATATATAATGAGATGTCCCCAGGAAGAGACAACCTTTAAGCTTAATATATCTCTTACTGTGTTCATACAAAATGACTAGAAATATTATAAGAAGTAAATTTAATATGATTGTTTAGTGGATTACTAGCTGAGGAAAGGATAAATCAATACACCCTGGATGGAATCCCGCCCTTGAGTGGATCTCCTAGTAATCTGGAGTGTTGACCCCTCAGATGAGATTTTGTCCTTGAGTTAATCCCCTGAACTTCCCCTGAAGGAGTGGCTTTACCTGTTTGTTGTTTTGACAATGTCCAACCCCATCTATGTGTACCCCAACCCTTCATGATTTCTATATGAACATGCTGTAAGGGGTAGAAACAGAGGGACTAGATGAGGACTAGAAGTAGAAGACTTAGAGGTCTACGAGGATGGAACTAGGGTGATGGAACTATGGTGACTGGGACTACGACCAAAACTACATCTATGATTGTACTATAAGGGAGAAATCAGACTATGCTAGGGAGGAGAGAAAAACTGACTACCAACAAGCCTGGGGCCCTGTTCCTCCATCCCGTTCCCCAGTCCTTAGTCCATCCATTGCCGTGGGCCAGCCAGGGTAACAGTCTCGGCCACCAAATTCCGAAGTCCCACACGTGCCCGCTCGTGTGCCCGCACTTTTCTTTTTTGAAACTCACACTGGGTAATGGGAGGGAACAGCTTGGTGACAGGAAACATGCACAGTTCTCACTGTGGAACCCACTGACTGGAGCACTGGCCCTTCACTGGAATCATTCCTATGATTGCGAGTGCACAGTGCAGGGGTGTCCTGTGCATGTGCATTGCAGTCAAATGTGTGTGTACAGGTGTGTCCTGTACTTCTGTATGCTCTGCACGGCCCAGTGTGTTATGCAAGTGTACCCTGTACTTGTGTGCATGCTGCATGGCTACGTATTACACATCTGAGTGTACAAGTGTACCCTGTGTACTAGATGGCAATGTGTATTACATGGCTGAACCATGTACATGAATCCTGTATGTGTACTGTACAGACAAATGCGCCCTATGAGTATGCACTGCGTGGCCCTGGGTGTGCAACTGTGCCCTGTACACTACCTAGCCCATTGTGTGTTCTTTACATGTGTATTGCACAGCCGAGTGTGTGCATATGTGCCCTGTGTTTATGGGCACATCACAGCTGGGTGTGTGTGCAAACAGATATTTGTGTGGGTGTGTGCTGTGTGGGAAGATTTTGATCTGGAGAGGTGGGCAGAGTGACCTCCCAGATACCTTCCAGGCTGATGTTCAGGTTTTGGTGGAAAGCAGAATCTCTGCCCTGTGACGGGACTGGAGAGGAATCCCACGTGCCCTCCACACTGGCTCCATTTATCCTGATGGCAGTCAGCTGTCAGGATGAGAACACTTAAGTTGGCTGGGAAAGAAGGAAAAAGTATGTGAGGTGGAAGCTCAGGCAATCGCACTCGGCGGAGACGGCTGCACTGAGGAGTCATGGCAGAGCTCTCCGCACTAGGTCGGAGTGGAGGAGGCAGCACAAGACCATAAAAGGAGACCTTCTGCCATTCCCACTGGGGACAACACATTCCCGCTTGGCAGGCTGAGGGGGGACACAGGACAAAGGGGGACTCAGACATACAGAGCACTGCGTCATATCCCAGGGCATCTGGTGAGGCGGGGAAAGTGACTCCCAGACACCTACTAGGCTGATGTTCAAAGGGGCCATAGGCCTGTCCAGCCCTGGCTGACACTGCCTGAACGTGCAGGCAGAATGGGCACAGACAGAGCCCAGGCTTTTCTGGGTCACCCTGAGTCCAACCTGTGCCTTTTCTATAACCGTAAGCTGAAAAGTTGGACTCAATTATTTACTCGTATTGTTTCTACTTGAAGGCAGCTTCCCAAGTAAGGCTGGTGAATGCAAAACACATCTGATAGGATATTCAAAAGAAGCTTCAAGAAAAAAACAAAATCAATTCTAGAATGCCCTCCATTTCACCTAGACTTGTGTATGGGTGTCTGTGGTTATACATGCATCAGAGCATCACACTGCCATACATATCATGTTGTGTCACAGTAAGCATGTGGGTGCACATGTGCCACACAAGTGTGACATACATTTGCATGTTGTGCATATCTTGCCAATGTATGATCAAAGTACAGTTGTGTGATTTGTACTCTCACTTTTATTCTCCTGGTGGATGGGGGCTTTAGACTCCAGTACAAGCATGATAATACTTTAAATCTGTTGCAAAAATGAGTGGAAATATTCTCAGAAGGCACTAGATATGGGTCTTTCTGAAGGTCAAGATCCACTGATGTTTGTTTCATTCAAAAATAGTGATTTATTGATGGAGTCAAAGTGCTTTTCTGTGACTGAGTTATATACAAATTGTACAGACTGGAGCAGACAGTGCCAGGACACGCAGCAAGTCTCTGGATAAAACTTGTAAAACTTAAAAAGTCATGGTCCCGCACTCAGAGGTCGCTTCACACTTGTCCCCTCTGCAAGGGACCTCCTGCAAAAGCAGACGCAGCTTTTCCTGCTCATTGGGCACCGGGACAGCCCATTCCCTCTTCAAGTACTGGATGTCCATGCTGCCGGAGGCTCTGGCCAGCACCAGGGCCAGGAAAGCACCGCCAGGTCGTTCTGACTCTCCCATGAGGGTCATCGCCACCAACCTGGGGAGAGAGAACAGCAGGACTGAGGCCGTTCCAGGAAGGAACAGTTCTGACCAATCATGACGGGTAAACAAGAGCTCAGAAGCACTTCTGCCTCTCCGGGGCCTGGACTGAGGCACTGAGGGCCCGGAAAGGGGTTGAGGTCTTAGGCACCAGCAGGAAGACTCATTGCCTGAGACTGATCCCCCCAGCCTGAACTGCCCATTCTGTGTCCTCAAGTTGGAGGTTCAGAAGCCCTCACACCTCCCCAAAGCTGCAGGTCAGTGAGGTCCCTAGGCCCTCCCTACTTCACATCAGTGTCATGAATTTCTCTCTCTGTCTCCTCTCAGAGGCTGAGCTCTAGGTGCTCCCAGGATGTGTCCACGGAGACCTGGAGCTCATTGGCCTGTGCAGTCTTAACCACAGCAGGCACAAACCATCTAGGCTGCCCACTCGGAAACACTCCCCATGTTCTGGGCCCAGGTACAGCAGCATGACATTACCACAGGCACCTCGGGAGACCGACCCTCCTGAGGCTTATCTAACACTGCCATAACATTTCCTGTAAAACTGAGCAGCATGAGGGACAGGGGGAAGTCACCAACAGAGATGGGCAGCACCATCACTCATGGAGCAGATGCCCAATATGGCTGCCAACCAGGAGACAGGGGCACTGACCGCTACAAGACCTCAGCGTAATGAACACTGGGATCACAACTGCCTGCATGAGACCAGCAGTAAATCTAAGATAGAGCAAGAGCAACTGCATCAAGAAATAGTACTGGGCACCTGGGCTGCATTTTTATGAAGGGAATGTTCTGTCACTCTCAAAACACAAATTTAAATCTGCTAAATGGTCACATTAAGAGATCACAAGGTTTTCAATGATCACTGGGGAGTCTTTATTTTCACATGATGATAACCATAAAGGTGTAGCGTGAAACTTGCACCCTCACACTGTTCCCACACAGGAACAACAGGGTAGTGAAGCTGTTCTCTCAGACTATGCCCACAGAAGTGATAACCCAGGAACAATGCAGTGAGAATCCTGATCTTCACATTACTCCCACAAGGTGACAACAACAGGATACTGAAGTATAAATCCTGGACCTTTAGACTATTCCCACAGTGATAAGCACGGGACAGGGTGGTGTGAAGCCTGGATCATCAGACTATACTTACACGATGACAACACGGGAAAGTGCAGAGTGAAACCTGGACTACCAGGTTATACCCACGCAATGACAAACACTGGGCAGAGCAGTATGAGCCCTGGACTCTCAGACTCACACAGTGACAAAAACAGAGCACTATGAACCCTGATATTCACACTACACCCATAAGGTGACAACAACAGGATAGCGAAGTGTGAATCCTGGACTTTCAGACTATACTCACACAGTGACAACCATGGACAGACAGTATGAGCCCTGAGCCCTCACACACTGCGTGTGAATCCTGAGCCCTTAGTCTATACCCACATAGGGACAACAGAGCAATGCCATCTCTTTACCCTTGGATGTCTGTAGTAAAACAACAAACTAGTAATGTACTGAAGCATTACTAAAACTATAAATATGTAAGTCACTGGAATGTACACATGAGCCCCTCTGGGGGGTGTCTGGTTCACTGCTTCATGCATGTCATTGGAATACCTGGCTCATGCGTCTACAACTTACCTGTCTGGAGAGATGGGCTGTTTGGCCACGGGACCCAAATCATTTTTTAGGAGGTCCCAGATATAAAGGCAGGAAGTATCGTCCTGGACCAGAAACACAGCTGGCCTGGTCAGGGACCACTGCAAGTGGGTAACAGCACGGCCTTCGGTGCTGTGGTCCCACTGCAGCAGGGGGCGCTCCGATGTCAGCTGGTGCAGCCGGATGCTGCCATCAGAACAGCCAGCCTGTGGGAAAGGACACACCATTACTCAACCTCGGCACTGGGCATGTTTTTATTTATTTATTTATTTATTTATTTTGCTTTTTGGGTCACACCCTGCGATGCTCAGGGGCTACTCCTGGCTCTGCATTCAGGAATTGCTCCTGGCGGTGCTCGGTGAACCATATGGGGTGCTGGGAATTGAACCTGTGTCGGCCATGTTGGCTGCGTGCAAGGCAAACGCCCTACCCGCTGTGCTATCGCTCCAGCCCCTGGGCATGTTTTTTAAACAGTAGGTCGTCAGTATGTACAGAAACCAACCTGGTTTGGTTTTTTCCCACATGATCTGTCTTCAAAAACCAAGAGTAAGCATCCCCTTGTACATCCTGGCACATCTGTGCTCCCTTCTCCACAAGTGCTAGTCATCAGTAAACTCGAGGACTGTATCCGCAGGGTTATGCTTTGGGGTCTCAGGGTAAAGTCAGCTGAGTGAGGGTGGAAGGCCAGCTTCTCAGCACAAGGGCACTTGCTACTGCCCAGAAGTGGTCTTCAGGCATATTCTCCACAGAGCAGGAGAAGTGCCTGGCTCTGGTTTTGCACCAGAAGAAGACTAATAGAAGCATGCATGCAAGGATGAAGGACCCAGCTCCAAATTTACTCAGGCTTCTGAAGACTAAAGTAGCAGCAATCAGTAACAGTAGTCACTGGAGAGAATAGCGACACATCCACATTTATGCATAAACACGCATTTGGCACTGATATGGAGAAAGGGATGTGGCAAATGTGCAGGTGTGCGTCTACACAGGGAAGGCTGAGCCTTCCTCCCTGAGGAGCATGGCACTGAGGGTGAGAGAGAAATGCCCCATTTCCAGACATCCAAATAAATCCCACCACAAACCTCGAGACTCAGCCCTGCCCCTTTTCACGCTCCGAGAGATACCCCTGCCCAGCCATCCTCCTCACTCACCCCTGTCCATAACCCTCCACAACATCTGTCCTGCCCCAGTCACCCTGACATATACCCCTGCCCAGCCCCCCTTCTGAGCCCCCTAGGCCCTACCTGCACTATATTCATGACATCACAAGGCAAATATTCTTGTGATTTTACATTCTGTGTCAAAGGTTTCTGATATCTGTTAACTCTAAATAACCCACATTGGCAGAGTGCTACCTAGGAGATGTGTCCTCAGTATCTTACTGCTCCTTTCATTACACTGAGGCCTGTGCCCCTCAGTGACCTGTTCTCCAGCCCAACAGGCCCTGTCACGTCCCTGCCCAGACAGGCAGGTCAGTCCTGCTGTGGGCAGCTTACCAGGAACACGGGCTCTCCAAATGGCGAGAACTCGATCACGCTGACCTTGGCAGCCCTCACACCGTGCTGTTGAGGCTTGAACATTCTAGGGGAGACTCTCAGATCTTGTCTTGTGCCGTGGCTGATGATACCCTGTAATGAGGGGCCCAGCAGACTCAGAAGCAAGACTGGAGGGGGAGGGGGAGGGGGAGGTTGGCTGCAACTTCTGAGACCCAAATGACATGGTGAAGAGGTCAACAGAGACCTCTACAGAGCCTGGAGTTACCATATCGGTGCCAACGATGAAGTGATTCGGGTCTGAAGGCAGGAACTTCACACTCAGTGTTTGCATTGGGCCCCAGCACTCAAAGCCTCTCTGGAAAAGACTAGAAGAAAGTAGAAATGAGACCATGATTCCTGGGGTGAGACTCCCTGACCTCCTGCCCACTTCTGATCTACGGTGCCCACCTGAGGTATGCAAGGGTTGGCAGCTCCCTGCAGATCAGCCCCGTGGGCAGACACAAGAGGCTATCCCTGCCTGAGGCCATCAGAGATCCCGCTGGTCCCGTCATCAATCTGTCCATTTTGTTGCTGGTTTGTGTCCCCTCACCGGCAACAAGAAGCCAGGACCTGCCACCAGCCCCTCATGTCCACACAGGACTGCAAGACCGCAAGTCCCTGAGGGTCTCAAACCTATCCCCAGCCATCTTGCCTGCCTCTGGCCATCCCCACTACAGCCAGGCCGATGGCCAGGATGCCTTCCCCAGCCCCGTCCCCCGTGAGTCCCATAAGTGTCACTCAGAACAGGGCAGGATCTCCGCCTCCGGTTCTGGATCCGTGAGTAGCACAGCACGCAGTCACCTCTCCAATGACCTGACAGTCCCACAGCAGTATCAGCCTGGTGGTGCATGGCCACCCCTTCGACCACCCGAGAGCCCCATGGTGCTTCCACTCCTCACAACTCTCATGTCATTCCCACGGCACACACTGTCCCTCACCACACCCGCACCAGCCCCACGATCCACACCTGCCTCTCATTACACTGACAGCCCCGCACATGGGCTCTCACTACTTACTGCCTGTGAAACAGACGAGACCTTCCCTCCTCCCTGGGGCTCTCTTACCCCTCTGCACAACCAACTCTCCAGCCTGTCAGTTCATCAGTGCCCTTTTGAGGGTGACCTCCCAAATGCCTCCACTTCAGTCCTGTTGGCAACCAAGCAAGCACACCCAGCACCCTCCAGCAGCATGAATGCAGGACAGCAGGCGGGCCTGTGTGGGCAGGGTGCTGACCTAGTGGCCAGGAGGCCTCATGGCCACATGTTCAGGGACATGTATGTACTTGTCCACTCTGCACAGTCAGAGCATGGAGTCCCACTCACAACAACAGCGGGGGCTGCCTGAAGCCCAGCTCTCCTCATGGCCCATGTGTCCTTTCAGCCTCTCTGACCCGTGCCAGCCAGTTAGCGCACCAGTGTGGAAAATGGGGACTGAGGGTGCCTTGGACAGTGAGAATGAACCATCATGAGTACAGACTAGACAGGACAGTGACATAGAGACACCCTGCGTACGAGATCTAGACGGGACAGTGACATGAAGCCACCTTGAATACGAGAACTAAATGCCACAGAGACGTGGAGCCACCATAAGTACAAGAACTATACAGGGCAGTGACATAGAGACACCATGATACGAGGACCAAATGCGACAGTGACGTGGCCACACTGTGAGTACTGGGACTAGATCTGACACCGATGTAAAACCACGTGTGAATGAGAACATGGTCTGAGATCATCATTGTTTCTAGGAAACAAGATGATTTTTTTAAAACCTGAGTCCTTGTCCATAATTGAAACTGTCACTGTCACTGTCCTCCCGTTGTCCATCGATTTGCTCGAGCGGGCCCAGTAACATTGTGAGACTTGTTACTGTGTTTGGCATATCGAATACGTCACGGGGAGCTTGCCAGGCTTTGCCGTGCGGGCAAGATACTCTCCACAGCTTGCCAGGCTCTCCGAGAGGGATGGAGGAATCGAACTCAGGTCAGCCATGTTGGCCACTTGCAAGGAAAACACCCTACCCGCTGTGCTACTGCTCGAGCCCAATTGAAACTAACATCACAATTTATTAATGGAACCCAGAAGATTCCTGTCTGAGGTGAGAAATCAAAGTTCTCATATTTCATGAATCATGTGCCACTGATAGCACTGTGCTTCACCAAAGGAAGTGACAGTCTCAGGGAATTCAGTAATAAGAACATTTCCCAGCACAAGGCCTTCCTACATTTTATGGAATTCTCTCTCCTTCAGGTATGTAAGTAAAAGACAGATCATCTTAATTTGTGAATAAATCTGATGTTAATTTTAGTGTCTGCTGAAGCTCATACTTTACACTTCAGAGCTGCAGTGAAGCTGCAAGAACCAGTGAAATGGTACCAGGTTAGGAAAGAGGATCCAAGATCAAGAGGATTAGGAAAGAGGTTAGGAAAGAGGATCCAAGACACCAAGAAGAATGTGTCTGTGTGTCACCTAATGTGGCCCTATAATCCCCCCTGAGCAGGTGGTCCTGGCTGTGCTCAGGTCTCCCTGGGCACTTCTCCAGGGAGGAACATTCTGGGGGAGGGCATCTGGGGCTCTCTCTCGGGAGGAGCAACTCACCTCCTGGTCAGCCGAATCACTGCGCTGTGCACCAGCTTCACCCTTCCTCCCGGGATCAAACCTGAGAACAAGACCAGGATGAATGCGCCTCTGGCCACGAGCTAAGCGATTGCACTGCTCTCCGAGGGAGGTTCTGACACTGCGGCAGAGGCCTGTGATGCTCTGGGGCATGGACGAGGGCAAGAAGGCTGCAGCACTGAGCACAAGGGCCCGTACTGACCACCCGGCGTCATGGGCTTGCCTCAATGATCCCCCAGCTCCTGGTGTCGGCCCACACTCAGCCCCAACCCTGACACGTGACTCGGCCTTCCCTGTTTCTCCCCAGGCTCCCAGCCTGCACATTCCCTGCCATGCTCCCGGGGCCGCTCCACTCTACCCCCAGCCTGGGCACTGGCACGGGGGGAGATGCGCATGTACTGAAGGGCACGCCCTGCACCAGAGGCCCCAAACAGCTGCTTATGAACCAGAGCCAGTGTCCCGAAGTCCCTGGATACCTGGACTGGCCCTGACCTCGCTGACAGGGTCACTCTCCCAGGAGACTGCTGCCCCAGCACCAGAAGAGCCACTGCACACGGCCGTCCCTCATCTGCTGAGTGAAGGACACTACCCTGACCACAAGTGTGGCCAGAGTCCAGTCTGGACCTCCCAGCACCTCAGCAGGGTGATTCCTGCTCCGCTCTGCCACAGGACCTGGGGGCATGGCTGGGCTGCTGCACAACTGCTGCACCTGCTGCTGGCACTGCGGGCACCATGTGTGAGCCAGGCCACTGTGGGCAGTTAGCCCTGTGCAGCAGCCCAGTCCTGACTCACTAATGGGCCCTGGACAGGACCTAGACACGACTCAGTAAGGCACAGTGGAGGGAGCTAGTCCTGACCCACTAACGCACAGTGGACAGAGCCCAGTCCTGACTCACTAATGGGCCCTGGACAGGACCTAGACACGACTCAGTAAGGCACAGTGGAGGGAGCTAGTCCTGACCCACTAACGCACAGTGGACAGAGCCCAGTCCTGACTCACTAATGGGCCCTGGACAGGACCTAGACACGACTCAGTAAGGCACAGTGGAGGGAGTTAGTCCTGACCCACTAACGCACAGTGGACAGAGCCTAGTCCTGACCCACTAACGCACAGTGGACAGAGCCTAGTCCTGACTCAATAAGGCACAGTGGACGGGGCCTAGTCCTGACCCCACTAATGCACAGTGGACAGGGCCTAGTCCTGACCCACTAACGCACAGTGGACAGAGCCTAGTCCTGACCCACTAACGCATGCTGTGCAGTCAGGCCCTTACCACCAACCTCGCAGCTCGGACCTGCAGCCACAGCTGTGCTCAGATGCAGCAGAGACAGCTCTCAGAACCAGAGAGGGCACCGAGTAAACGAGGTGGCCAACTGCTAAAGCACTGGGAGGCTGACTCTTAACAGCTGTTCTCGGGCTGCCATCTCCCAGGGCTCAGGGCTGAGCGCCCCTTCTCAGAGACTGCTGGAGGCACCACCCCCGCACATGGGCGGCTGTGCGAGAACAGCGGCAGGGAGGCGAAGGTTGCCTTGGGCTGCTGCATGTCCCAACAGGTCCCCGCAGCTCCGTCACGCTGCTCCCCCAAGGGTAACTGTGGCCAGCACCAAAGGTGGGAGCAACCCCAAGGTCCCTTGCCTTTTCTCCAGGCCCCAGGGTCCACTCAGAGGCCAAAGTCGCACAGTCACTCCCATCCTCATTGGCAGGACATAGACTGACCATCCGGGCAGTCATGGTGTCTCAAATCTCTGCGTTTTAGAAACACTGATGAAAATCGGTTTTTCTGTTTGATAGTTACTTACCTAAGTCACTTATTGAACCTGCAAGATCTGCCTTTGGTAATTCAACCACCACCTAGAAACAGAACGTGGAGATGGACGTTATAGCCCAGTTCCCAGGTCGGCAGACGTAGCTCTTGCGTAAACTCACAAGGGGGCAATGGCGCTCTCTCTCTCCTGCTGCCCGTGTTCGGCAGTCTCGGGTCGCTTCTCCCGTCCCGGGGAGGTCGATGACAAGGGGCAGGCGAAGGAAGGAACCAAGGGCCAGGCCAGTTGGTGTCAGTTGCAGTTTATTCCACTCCCATCTCCATTCTCCTCTGATTCTCCTCCTGCGTCCTCCCCCACGCTCCTTCATTCTCCTTCTGCATCTCTCATCTATCTTCCCACTCTGGATTCCCTTTCTCCTTCTGGCTCTGGATCCCCAGCCCCCTCTTCCTCCCTAGCTAAATCCCCCCGCTTGAGGGGTTGGGGCTTACACATAGGTGTGGTCACTATCAATAGGGGTAAAGTTCTTTCCTTGGGGAAAGCCGCTTCTAGGACAGATTCTTTCAGCAGGACAACCCACCCTAGAGTGGAATCCCAAGGGTGTGTTTCTCCTCTCCTTGTCCAACAAACATATGAACATTCATAATAGTAATCATTTTGTATGGACACAGTAAGAGATACATTAGGCTTATAGAATCACTTTCCTGGGGTCATCTCGATCTCAGACTACAGTGCTCAGGCCAGATTAGTCTTTCCTAGCCCTAGCAGGGTCCTAGTCTCATCATTACTTTTGGATCATGACAGCATTTGTCCATGATCAAGCTCTTAACTTATAGTTGAGAATCGTGACGCTTTGGCCTGGCCCATTTTGATGCCAGGTTAGCTCACAGCTTGCCCTGGGTCCAGTCAGTCCCTCATCGGGACCCTGCTTTTGGGGTGCTAGGAACTAAGGGCAACTGAGGCTTAAGTTGAGAAAGTAAAAGCATAATATTAACTGTTTTCCTGTGCCTATACAAAAAGGACATTGCTTTAAAGTAAACTATTCAAAGGACATAAGGAGAGGGGAAAGTCGATATTTACTTATAATACAAGTTCAGTGTCCTGGAAGGATCCGACCTTACAAATTAAGAGAGTCTGATTAGGGGAGATAGCTGATTAACTGGCTGGGGAAGAGAGCATAGAGGAGAGATTACAGATAAAGGAATGGAAGTGACTTGGGGGTACTGTGATGGGTGTGACTCAATAAACCTAAGCTCCTTGTGGCAAGGGGGAAAGGACAAACCAATGTTAGGCCTAAAATATTTGGAGCTATATTCCAACAGCTCGGGACACAGTTTGTTCCAGAGATGCCCGCGAGCCCAAGAAGCATCACAAATGCTGGACTCAGCCTTCTGATCCCACACCGTCACATCTCTCGGGGCCTCTGAAGTAGGAGCCTGGGACTCCCGTATGTCCCCCCCACCACAGCAGGCCTGGTCTCTGTGACAGCGCCTCCTCCCAGTCCATGTGGCTCTCCACTGCAGCACTACTGGAGCCCAGCCTGCCCCAGGCCTGGGTGCTGCAGGGTCCACTCACCCACACGTTGAGAATGCCACTCTCGTCCAAAGATGCCACGTGGAAGGACAAGCCCGACATTTCTGATGGAGACAGAAACGGGGAGAAGTGGCTGCACCGGGAGCCCCGAACAGTGCTGGCGGGGGCTCAGGGCAGGGCAGTACCTTCCTGAGTGGAGAAGGGAGAGAGCACCAGGCTCTGCTTCCTGTAGACGGCCGTGGACACGGGCTCGATGGCCTGGAGTGGGCTCCGGTGGCTCACGGACGTGAGGGTGCCATCTGCGGTGAAGACACAATGGTCACCCAGATCCAGCCCTCCCAGCCAGGGGATGAGGATCAGGCCCTAGCGCCCAGGCCTGGAGGCCACGGCAACTGCTCCCTCCTGCCAAACTGCTGCCACACGTATATGAAGCCCTGCCACAGACACCAGCTTGTGGAGCATGCTACCGCACACGAATTACACAAGCGATCTTAGCGTAGCATCCTGTCACATGCCACAGCGTGAGTAATAGACATGAGCTGCCGTATGCCGTAACATGGATGACGTGTGTGGAGCCACCCCACAGCACATGAACAGCACGTGAGGGCCTCCGTGGCTCGGGGCAAGGCTACACGTGGGAGTGCTCCACCACCCCCACTACCTGAGAGCTGGGGGGGCGAAAGGAAAGACAGGAAACCCCGCAGTGGTGAGGGGTGTCCTGAGTAGAGACAGGCCATGCTCTGCACCACTGACCACTGAGCACCATGCCTGTGGCTGCAGCTGGAGGTGTGACCGTGGCTGTGGAAGCCCCGGGGGTCTGGCTGTGAGAGTTGTGGCTGCAGCTGTGGATGCGATGCGGCTGCAGCTGTGTGGCTGTGGTTGTAGCTGTGTGGCTATGGGTGTGGCTGTAGCTGTGGGTGTGGCTGCAGCTGTGTGGCTGTGGTTATAACTGTAGCTGTGGCTGTGGTTGTGGCTGTAACTATGGCTGTGGCTGCGGCTGTGGGTGTGATGTGACTGCAGCTGTGTGGCTGTGGTTGTGGCTGCAGCTGTGGGTGTGGCTGCAGTCAAGGCTGTGTGGTTGTGGCTGTAGCCGTGGCCGTGGCCAAGGCCGTGGCACACGGCAGAGCAGGAAGCCTGGAGGGCTCAGCTCCTCTGTTCCCTTCATCCCGGCTTGAGTGCACACGCCAACCTGCCTGAGTTGAGTGCGACTGAAAGCTGTTTCCCTGCAGGTGACTCTGCCCGCCCGTGGCCCCTGGCCAGCCCCTGCACCCCGCAAACTCCAGGCAGAGGTCAGAACCCTCGGGCTCCTCTAGGCAGCCGTGCCTGTCCCAAAGCCGTCTGACAGCAGACAGGGCAACTGACCCGTGGAGAAAGTGGACATCCGGAAGGTCCAGAGACAGCCACTCAGCGTCACGTGGTGATGAAGTCTCGAGTCCTCCCTGAGGTCCCACACCACCACCGAGCCGTGCGCTGTGCCCGCAAACAGCAGGAACGGTTTGAAGGGGGAGAAGCAGCAACAGGTGACCTGAGGGGAAAGATGCATGCTGGGCGCAGACACAGACACGCACGTCCTGTCCACCCACACAGAGGGGCACGGACCGCACAAGCTCTGCCACCCTCTCAGTCTCCCTCCAGCTGGGACCCCACCGGGCCATACCTGTGACTCACATATCAGGATCTTCTGGGGCCCCGAGGGCTGCCAGAGATCCCACACACAGAGCACGTGTCTGCTGTCCAGCGTGTGGCCTGAGTTCCTCGCAGGGAGGCCGTGCACAGACACAACCGTCTGCCTCTGGACCAGAGAGGCGTGCAGGCAGGACACCGGCCGACCTAGGGCAGAGAGGGGACGCCTGGTTCAGCAGAGGGCGGCGAGTGGTGGGGGCTGGTTTTTCGGTGTTCAGGGCTACCCCTGGCTCTGGGCTCAGCGTCACGCAGGCAGAGCCTGGGAGACCATGTAGCACAGAGAACTTTCCGGGCTTCCGCATGCAGAGGGTGGGTTCCTTCTCTGAGCATCTCCAGGGGCCCCGAGACCCACACCAAGCCGGGATAGACAACAGGCCCGCATGGGTCTGGCCCTGTCCTGGCCTCCACTAAGAGAGCCCTTCGCCTGAGAAAAGCAAGGAGCAGCGGAGACCATAGGCTGCCTCGCTCACCTCCTCATTACCCCTCCGAACCCGACCCAGGTGCCCCCTCACCTCGACTCAAAAGCCCCAAGGAAACTGCTGGAGCCTTTGCATCTCAGTCCCCACCAAATGACCTTCCGAGTCACACGTGGACACCCTGGGCCCCAGACCCACACACCAGCACTGCCTCGTGCCCGTGCCCCGGCTCTCACCCTGGAGGAAGGGCAGGCTGGTGTTCAGCACAAAGGCGCTCTCGCTGAGTGGCAGGGTGCAGTCCTGCGCCCCCTGGCTCCAGCTGGGCTCCCGGGCCACTCGGTCCTCCTCCAGCAGAACTGAAATCACCTTTCAAGACAAGTGAGCAGTCCTTAATAAACACTGTGACTGTGTCCACTGTGACAAGAGAAACCAAAATATGCAAGTCATTACCTACTTATTAGTTTCACCTATTCTTAAAGTTTAAAAAAATAAATAGAATTAAATAATTGTTCTTCGAGAACAGAAGTAACTAAAGTTAACGTCAAAGGCAACAGTGCAGCCCTCTTACCTAACACAAAAGGGCAGCCGTTATTTATCATAAAGGGGGCAGGGCTGGAGCCAAGCGCCTTGCAGCTGCCAACCTGGGCGTGACGATCGCTGGCGGCCCCTAGTATCCCTCAAGCCCACCAGTGCAGTGAGTCCCTGAGTGGAGAGCAGGAGAAACCCCTCAGCACCAAAGGGTGTGGACCAAAAGTCAAAAGAAAGACAATGGGGGAGGGGGGGACGGTCAAGGCAGTGACACACAGAGGGGAGCGACACTCGTGGAGACGCGGTGCCGGAATGCGTTTGGATGAGATCCTGCCAGTATCGACACTGCAAACCACGGCCCTACAAGCACCTTTTTAAAAGTCCCCTTGAAGGACTACAGCGGTAGTAAAGCAGGTAGGGCATTTATTTGCAGACTCGAACTCTGGCACCCCTATGGCCCCTGAGCCGACAAGGAGTGATCCCTGAGCACAGAGCCAGGAGTCAGCCCCGAGCACTGTGGCCCAAAAACAAAACATTAAAAAATGACCTAAAGGAGCCGAGTGGCTCACAGTTTTGGCTGACATCTAAATTTGTGCTCTCGGGGCTGGAGCAAAGCACAGCGGGTAGGGCATTTGCCTAGCATGCAGCCGACCCGGGTTCGATTCCCAGCATCCCATAGGGTCCCCTGAGCACCGCCAGTAGTAATTCCTGGGTGCAGAGCCAGGAATAACCCCTGTGCATCGCCAGGTGTGACCCAAAAATCCAAAAAAAAAAAAATTTGTGCTCTCTGATTTACAAATCTAAAATTAATTAAACACCATTACTTTATTTGAAAAAAAAAAAAAAACAGGAAAATAGTCAGACATAACTTTCCTCGAGTAAACAAAATATAAGTATGTAGCATAAAACATGTCTATTGCTAAGTGATGAGCAAGAACCAAAATAGAGAAAATTACTATTACCAGGATAAGGTAAGAGGGATGACTGGGGATACGGAGAATGCTGAAAACCTGACAGGGTTAGTCTAGGAGCTGACAAAACCCAGAGAGGGAGCATCTCGTACAACTTCTAGGACTGGTGTAGGAAGGAATGTGCTGTCGGTTCAACAGGAAAGTTCAGGAAGAAAACGTGCTGTAGGACTGGACTGCAGGGAAAGTGCTGCGGGTCGTACAGGGTGGCGTAGGAAGAGCATGTGCTGTGGACTCGCTTAGGAAAGGAACGTCCCGTGAGCCTGGCAGGACTGGAGAGCAGGTTCGGTGTGACGAGGGTGAAGGGAGGGCTCGGGTCAGCCCAGCCTGGTCCTGGGTCCTCGGTCAGCGCTGCTTCAGGTCCGACGCCTTCCCCTCACACTGCATCTCAGACTCTCTCCACTCAGCTGCCCACGGGCAAAGCGGGACCCCCGCTGTTCAACTCGAACGTGATGGCCGCAGCGCAGCGCAGCGGCCTGGGTGGCACTTCCCAGCCTTCTCTGAGCACGGTCCCTCCAACCTGATGTCCCTCCTGCAGCCTCCTGGGCTGCTGCACAGCACCCGCGGCAATTTCACCCGTGGCTCCCGTGGAAAGCCCAGGATCCACCTGGCACCCAGCTGAGAACAACCCCTTTGACGCCTTCTGAGCACCGTGACAGGAGCCAGACCCCCACCCTGTGCCACCCTCAGGGCTGGTGGCGTTGTGGCTGCCACCCCCAGTAGAGGCGCAAGATCCACCCATGCTCCAGCCAGGGCCACCGGCCCAGGACACAGGACAGCTAGGAGTCTGCGTGAGCAGCACAGCGACAGGAGAGGACCATACCCCGACACACCCCAACGTCCAGCACCCAGGGAACACCCCAGGCGAAGGCTGTGTGAACATCACAGCTGGGCCGGAGGCTCCCCCGCCATTACCGAGTAATGAGTGCGAGAGAAAAATGGACAAGTCTAACGTGACGTGAGAGCACATTCCCCGGATGAACAAGGCCCTTCCCGACAAGGTCAGAGGCAGGGTCTTCTAAGGCACCAGGTGGGCTCAGCCCTGTTTGTCACAGGAATGCTGCCGGGAATCCGCTCTCCGACTCCAAGCACACCTGGGAGAGGTGTGCAAAGCCAGTGAGGACGCGGGACAGGAAGAAGGTCAGCCAACTCAGTCTTTCGCCTGAGGACTCACACCAAAGTACTTGGGAGGCAGGAGGCAGAGACGGTACTGGGTAAGGCACTTGCCTCGCACACAGCAGACTCTCACTGACCCCCGGGCACTGCATCTACCCTCAGGGCACCACCAAGAGTGAGCCCTGAGCAGAGCCAGGTGGGAACCCTGCGCAAGTGATCCCTGAGCACTGCTGGCTGTGGCCCCCAGCCCAGACATACACTGCTGCGGAGAAAACAGTATGTTTTTTGGGAATGGCTCTGAAAAAGGGAGGCGGCTGGCTCAGCTGAGAAACAGTGACCATGAGCTTCCCCATCCTGTTTCCGATCTCTGAACTTCCAAACCCTCCGTGAGCAAACCCGAACCCACGTTTATGGGCTCACAGACTCCAGCTGAGTGCTCGCCTCACCTACTCTGTCAGCGGTTCTGGAAAGCAGTGATTCACGCAGGTGTGGAATCCAAAGGCATGGTCGTCCCTGCAGGGACACCCTTTGCCTGAGGACGGCCAGCACGAACGTACCTGACAAGCTGACCGCAGAAAGGCAGACAGCCGCGGCGTGTCGATCTTCAGCACCACTGAGGCATCAGCTGGATCTCGAGTCTCGCTACCTAAAGAGTCACATGGTTTTCTGAGCAGAGAGTGACAGGGCTCTCCACCATACAGAGATGCACACCGTCGAGCTCTATGAGTGCAGGGTGACAGGGAGCGCCAGCGAGCACAGTGAACCCCATAGCCGTTTGAACACCGCCAGAAATGGTCCCGAGTGTGACTCCCCAAGTCCAGCCCAGTGACAGTCCCAGCACCCGTGGGCACCACCTGGGGCCAGCCCAGCACTGACGCACAGAAATGCAGTTGATCCCTTAGAGAAGACTGGAGCTTCCCACCATTCCTCATACTGCACCCAGGGAAAGCGGGAAGAGCAGGCAGAGAAAGGGGAAGAAACACAGCCCTCGAGGGATGTGCAGAGACTCCGCTGTCAGGGCCAAGCACACAGCCCACCTGGGTTCAACCCAGGGCACCCCAGAAGGTCCCCCAATCCCGTCAGGAGAGATCCCTGAGCAGTGCAGGTATGGCCCCAAAACAAAACTGCCATGGACAAGAGCCTGAGGCATTTACCACCACACACAGCAGTGCCCTCAGCAGGGTGCTGGGTCCAGGCTTCCCGGCTCTCGATCTCTTCCGTCTGAATGTCCCTTTCCACGCTGTCTTCATTGTACTGAACATAAGCCTGGAAGACAACGTGGGTTGCATGAGCACGGCTGGAGCACAGGGTCCGCTGTTCCTTCACCACACCGACAACGCTGCCAACTGAGTGCAGTGTACTGAATGTGGTTACGATGTGATGGTATTGACTTATCAGTTCTCTAGCCTTTGTTAAAAATAATTATAATGGAATCAATAGCTCAGTCTCCGTACTCTGAACACTTGGTATATACAGACATGCCCTTCACACGTGTTTTCTAAAGTCTAGTCACACAACTCAGCTAAGATCAGGAGACAGCACCCCCAGCCCACCAACACCTGTTCCTGCAGAACATACAGGCTTCCAAACCAAGCACAGGTCAGAGTTACGTAGCTCCGTGAACAGACAGTGCCCGGGACAGCACAGAGAGGACAGGGACCATCTGGGGAGAGCCTGCGGCTGTGCATGACCAGGGCCACCTGGGCCAAAAGCCACAGGGCAGGGAGACTCACAGCATGGTCATGTCATAAGAAGTGTCAGATGACCACAGAGTCAGACCTCACAACCTGTGGGCAGGTGGCTCTCATAAACATGATCACTCTATAGGAGGGGCAGCCATCAGGTAAGTGGTCACCATACCTGACGGAGGCTGCCGGGTAAATGGTCACTGTACCTGCCGGAGTCTGTCAGGTAAATGGTCATGTACCTGACGAGGCTGTTGGGTAAGTGGTCACTGTTCCTGACGGGGGCTGTCGGGTAAGTGGTCATTGAACCTGCCGGAGGCTGTCGATAAGTGGTCACTGTATCTGACGGAGGCTGATGGGTAAATGGTCACTGTATCACTGTACATAATGGAGGCTGTCATGTGTCTGGTCCCTGTGTATGCCAGGGCGGCTGTTGTCACTTTATGTGAGACCAGTGCTGATTCTCTCCATCAATGGAAGCACTCGGGACTAAGACGGTTTGAGTAGTGAGACTGAGCACCAGAGGTCAGTGAGGGCACTCAGCAGACGGTTGAGGGAGAGCTACGGAGCTTAGAGCAGGTCCTGACAAAGCGGACACTCCCGGTGGGGTCAGCAGTGGCGGGCAAGAGATGAGGCGGGGACAGTTTCTCAGATCTGTCCTGGGCCATGTGGCCACCTTATTTCAGATCTGGCATGGGGGCTGCAGGGCTCCTGGCAGGCCCTGAGGTCACGGCCAGGTATGGTGCCCTCCTGGGGCCCTGTGTGAGGGTCTGGGCCCTTCCGCAGGTGCCACGCACACCAGTCTCACCTGCTTGGTGTTCTTCTTCCCGAAGTTTCTGATGTACATGTCGTACTCATTGACCGGCGGCAGATCCATGAGTGAGAACGTGAATGAAAAGTCTAAGTCGATCAGTCGAAGTAGCTTTGTGCTGCGTGTTCTTGAACAGAGGCGAGACAGTTAGCCGGAGCCGGGCGAGGTGGGCAGCTGAGGCTGTGGGCCTGCCTGCTCGGGCTGTCCCCCCTCCCATGTGCAGGGGGCAAGGCACAGACCCACGAGTCCCGCACACGTGCCCACAGCCCCCTCCATCCCCTGGGGCAGGCCATCTGGCTTTGTGGCCCGGACTCTTACACACGGAGCACCACAGCTCTGACCCTCCTGTCCTGGCCGGCAAAACATGGTTTCATCTGTTTGGGGGCCACACCCAGCAACTCTCAGGGGTCACTCACAGGACCACATGGGATGGCAAGGACCAGAGCAAGGTTGGCCACATGCAAGGCAAGCGACTTGCAAGCTGTACCATCCCTCCAGCCCCCAATTCCTCTCAATGGCTGAGTTTAACTCAACTTTTCCTTCTTCAAAACTGTCCTCACCGCTCCTGACCCCTTGCATTTCCAGACACACTTCAGGACCGGGGCTGGCTCATACCAGATGCATCCTGCACTCCAAGACCACCTACCCTCTCTCACTGGCTACAGCTGTGGGAGCCTCACCTGAGCATCTGCTCCCGTCCGAGGGCCCTCACTTACATTGGGGTCTGGGGCCTGGCCGCTGCCTCAGCTGCGTCCAGACGCTGCAAGGCCTCCACCCCGGTTCCCTACCACCCCAGGGCACCTCTGGGCCCCCCAGGAGCCACAGAAATTCAGTCCGGATCTCCAAATTGCCACACACACGAGGCCACACCTCTACAGTGCGAGCTGCACCCCAACCTCAAGGGGGCCTTTCTTTCTCCTGTCTCTTTTTCTTTCTCACTGTACTTGTACCACTGCTGTCTTCCATCGTGCTGAACAGAAATATCATGATTATACAGGTTCTCTGTGCTGTTAAGATTAACCAATCTTACATTCCTACGAGACAGTGTTCCTTTGGGCAGAGCAGATACAGCACCAGGTGGGGGTGAGTCCTGGGTGATCCTGGGTGACTGGGATGGACTCAGCCACCGCACGCAGGGCACGCACTCAGTCTGTTAGTTCTCTCTCTGGCTTCGGGAGCCGTCTGGGGTGTCACTGTATTTCATTTGCTAACACCCTACTAAGGATATGAGTGTACGGATTTGTGAGACATAATGGTCTGAAATTCTTTTAAATTTTATTAAATTTCAATATCAAAGTTTCATTAACCCTGGTGGTGGGAAGGTGTAATTGTGGTGGGACTGATGTTGAAATATTGGTAATAAACTGTTGTGAACAACTTTATAAAAATAAAATATAAAAAAAAGTTTCATTAACCTCTGATTCGATCTCTGGAATTTATAAATGCAAGAGTTTATATTCCTCAAATGTTTGGAGGCTTTTGTAAGACAGATCATCTATGTTTATGTAATTTAATCTGTGGGAAAGTTATTTGTGTATTAAACATGATTTAATGTGGAACAATTTGATAAACTGCTTCATAAGAGATATTCCTGTTGATTTATTAGCACAAAGTTTCTCGAGATGTCATCTTAGTATCTTTTTAATGCTTGTCAGATCGACAGTGATATCCGCATTTTAATCCCGCTATGTGGGTCTTGCTGCTTCTCCACCTCGCACCTGGTCAGACTCATTAGGACCGGCAAGTCGTGGCCACTTACACAGGATGAATCTTCACTCCCCTGAATTTACAGCTTTAGATTTTAATGACTGATGCTCTTATCGCTAATTCTTTTATTCTGGAAGGAGGAGGGTCCCCTCCAGGCCGTCTGATTGAGCCTCCCTTGGAAACCCTATACGAGCACTCTTACTGACCCTCCCTGTAACACCTGCTCACACTGATCCCCCCAACACCTGCCCTGCTCACACTGACCTTCCCTGTACCCCTGTACACCTGCTCTGCTCACTGAACCCCCAGCCCCGTGCATACCTGCTGCGGTCACACTTGCTCGCACACTATACTTGAGTTGCACCTAGGGACACCTGGTTTGAAATTATATCATTTGAGTTCCACAAACACCTGAATTCACAGCTTTCAAGCACGGAATTGGTGGCTCCTGTGGTGGTCCTGCCCCTCCCTGCTCAGTGTCAGGGTTGTGGGACTCCGCAGGCTGCTCCTTCCTCCTCCTCCTGGGCGGACATGTGGGAGTCTCCCTTGGTCTACAGCACACGCGTCCCCCGACTCACTGCCCCACACACAGTAACACGGTGGTGAAAACAAGTGGCTTCTCTTATTAAACCAGGTAAAGCCTGCAACGCCTGTTGGGAAGTTTCCCAGGCACTTACTTTTGCTTCAGGGCCTGAGAGCGACTCTTCTGCCGGTGTGAGGCTGTTGCAAAATCCATGAAGATCCCACAGCCCGAGGCCCTGGAGGGAGAGGTGCTGGCTTCTGCACCAGGAGAGCAGCCAGGCGACACGGAGGAACTCACTTCGGCAAACCAAGAGCAAGAGTCAGACCATGCCGCATGCAGAGCCCGCTGGGCAGTCTCACGCCAGCCCGGAGACTGGCGCAGCTCTCATCAGCCCGAGGACTGCCCTCGCCAGGGCACTGCCAGGCAGCCCCGGGTGAGCACCAACTCTGCCCGGCAGTCTGAGACAACTGTGACTGCACAAAAAAGACCCCCCTGCTCTGCCCTCTGCCCAGGGCATTCCCAGACTGAAGAGCTGAACAGAGACAGAGGGAAAGACGGGCCTGCGGGGGTGTCCAGAGATGAGGCCGGGACCCTCCTGTGGACAGGGCCCCCCCAAGCGCTGGTGCTTGCACCTGGTCATTTGCATCTATTTCTTCAGTTCCAGCTCCCTCGGTCTCTCCACCTGGAGAGGCATTTTGCATCTGAGACGAGAAATTAGAGCTCTCTGTCCTGTCTGATTAGCACACTCTTCCTCTTCACCTGCTTTCCAAGTGCCACCGACTCACACCATCCGCCAGCAAGGCACCAGCCCGCCGCTTTGTGGCCGAGTGGTCTCCCTGCAGGCCCCGGCTCTCCCACCTCAGAACACCCTCCACGCAAGTCGCTGAGGACCAAAGCAGAAAGCCACCACAGACAGAGGCCTGAATAAGGACCCTCTCGGAGGCACATCTATGCCAGCGCAGGCATCAGACCCTGCCTGAGGTGTCACTCGAGCACTGGAGGTTCAGTGTTAGAAGAACCCTTAGGGAAGGGCACGTGCTCGGCACAGGGACTGCAGAGACCACCTCCCAGCAACACACAGTTCTGTAAAGGAGGCAGGTCCTGCCAAACATGGAAGAAGTAGTCCCCACTGGGAGCACAGCGGCCCACAAGGACTCTCCACCAGCTATAGCAAGATGAGGCACAGCACTATCCATTTCATGCCAACAAGGTGATTACTCTGTAGCAGCTGAAAGGTGACCCACAGTTCGTCCACCAGCCAACTAGGTGAGCTATAGGACCATCCACCATTTAAAATACGGTGATCAACAGTCAAGATAGCCACTAAGCAGGTGATGTCAGCTACTAAGCAGCCTAGAAGGACTCTGTACCCCAGGTTAGCGAGAGCATCTGAGGCAGGAGGGGGCAAGATCCCCACGCTGTGTGCGTCTAACACACTTTAGCACTTCACACGTATTAACTAACCCTTATGACACCTTCAAAGATGCCTTAAGCTTATGCTACAGAGAAGGAAACTGAGGCACTAAAGCAAAGCAACAGCCCAGGCCACACCAGCAGCAACTAACAGATTTTGCATACCACGCACCACTGTGGCTGAGGGCTTAGGCTGCTTGGCCAGGGCTAGCGCTGATGCTTACCTGCACAGAAGCTACCTGAGTGAAAAATAAACCCAAACAATACAGTCTCACCCGAGGGGTTGTCAATTCTGACCTTATAAGCTGGGCAGTTAAGCACCAAACTGGACAGGGCAACAAAAGGCTGCTCAAAGCTCAGCTGAGAAAGCCGAGAACTTTCTGAATGGAAGCCTGCACTGCTGCCAACTCCCGCGAGGCTCGACTGCCCCACAGCACAGCGCCGCTCCGCCCCCGAGCACCAGGACACGGGAGCGCAGAGCCTGCTGCAGGCCACCCCTGGCCAGAGGTGTCCTCACTGTCTTCTCTGCGGCTCCCGCCTCTCTGCGGCAGAACACAGCAGGGCAGAGAGACTGCTCCACCCGAGTCGCATTTAACGACTACAATACAGCCGTCAAAAAGCACAACCACGGTCCTGATCGTCCATTCTGCCAGGTGACCTAAGGGAGCATTAAGCGATTTTTCATTATTTTCCCATGTAAACCCGAGTTCGATTCCTCCGCCCCTCTCGGAGAGCCCGGCAAGCTACCGAGAGTATTCGATATGCCAGACACAGTAACAACAAAGTCTCCAATGGAGACGTTACTGGGCCCGCTCGAGCAAATTGACGAATTTTTCCCATGTAAATTATTTTTATTTTTTTTACTTTGGGGCCACAGCTGGTTGTGCTCAGGACGTACTCCTGGCTCTGTGCTCAGGGATCACTCCTGGCAGGGCTCAGGCCCACACGTGGTACTGGAAAGCATGCGGGCCAAGCACTTACCTTACTGTCTACTGAGCCCTGCATCTTAACTTTAAAAAAAAAAGAGAGAAATGTATAGCGCATTTTGCTTCTGAATTGTTGCAGAAGCCACACCTAGTGGTGCTGGTTGGGGTTGGGCAGGCGATGCCAGGTCAGAAGCATCTTAAACACACAAGGCTGGGCCCACCCCCAAACTAACTAGCTGGTTTTTTGTGCTATTCTTAATGCTAATATTTTATCAGGATGTCACAGTTTCCCTTAAGTGATCTTAAAATACTCCTAGCCATTTTTTCTTTACTTCTTCTGTTCTTGGGAGATGCTCAGGAGTTACTCCTGGCTCTGCACTCAGGAATCGCTCCTGGTGGGCTTGAGGGGACCTTATGGGATGCTGGGGACCAAACCTCGGTTAGCCAAGTCCAAGACAAGCCCCCTACCCGCTGTACTATCGCTCCAGCCCCTTGATGCCTATTTTTCAATAATCATATCCAGATGCCAGCAGTTTTTGCACAAAACACAAACCTAATCTCCTGAGTAAAACCCCTGATGGGCCCTTTCCTAAGCCTGCCCAGTGCCAGCCTGGGTTCTGCTGCCATCACACAAGGACACCCAGCACAGGGCACACCTTTGGGGATACTTAAGGACAGTGGGACCAGCAAAGCAGACCAGCAACCACCCCGCAGAACAACGGACTCGAGCACAGGCCCGACCACCTGGAGGTCCCTGGGAACACAGGCGTTAGCCCTTGATTGTGCACACACAATCTCACAGACACACACCCTCGAGCTGTCACACTCACTCTACAACACTGTCATATACCCCTTACATACACAGCCTCGTGTACAACTCCCACCGAACACGTCACACATACCCTTTGCACACCCTTACACACCCTCATCCCCAACATACAACTCTCACACAACTGTCTCATTCAGACACCCTCACTCACCCTCTCACACACCCTCACGCACCCTCACATTCTCTCAGACCTATCACAAACCCTCATGCACCCTCTCACACAGCCTGAGACACACTCTCTCACACCCTCACACACACTCTTACACACCCCCTCAGATACTCTCACACATCCTTTCACACACCCCTAAGACATACTCACACACCCTCACGTACCCTCTCACACAGCCTCTCAGACACACTCTCACACCCTCTCACCCCCACACAGCCTCTCACACTCTCACATATCCTCATGCACCCTCTCAGGCACCCTCTCACACGTCTTCTCACCCTCTCACACCGTCACGCACCCTCTCACGCATGCTGTCAGCACGTGAGTGCCCCCACTGCCTGCCCAGCACCATCACTGCGACCGCTGCCCGTGGTCAGGCCAGGTTCGAAGCACGTGGACGGCTGCCCATACACACACCTGCTCCCGACTCCCGCTCACAATCCGCGTGAGCATGCTTCCTGAGCAGCTTCAAGGACAGCTCGCCGATGCGCTCGTTCTCCGCATTGATGGCTTTCTGTATCTCCTGTATCTCTTTCCGCTTGGCGGGAGGAAGTTCCTCACATTTTTCTTTTGGCTCTGCTTCATTGGTGCTCTCGTCATCATCTCCGTCACCAACTTCAAAGTCATCTTCATAGTCCTACACACAAGAACATGGGACCTCTCAAACAAGCTGACTTGCAAGAACACAGAAATTGTGATGGAAAGCTGGCCTCAGAAAGACAGGGATTTTTATACTCCATAGATTTCAATGACACTGATTACTGATCTGTAAACGCAGATGTGTTTGCTGCTCTAAAAATTCTACTACGTACCAGGGCTAGAGCCATAATACAGCAGATAGGATGCCTGCCTTGCACGCGGCCAACAGAGATTTGATCCCTGGTATCCCATATGGTCCCGAGTGCATAGCCATGATACATTCCTTAGCATCACCGAGTGACCCCCCAGAACGAAATAAAAATTGAACTAGACAGAACTATATACGTATAGTTATTAATAATATGCAGACAGATGCTGAGTCTGCAAGCGCATCAAATTTATATACAGCATTCCCATCACACACATGCATGTACACGCCTCGTTCTTCATGCAGCCTCATGTGTACACACATTCGTGTACAAGTGTGTACACATCCATGTATACATAAATGTATATATTTATACACATACGTATACATATATATACCATGCACACATATGTTTCCATGTACATTTTAACACGCTTTAAAATGGTTCAACTGTAAAACATCTAGCCACAATGCAACAGTAGCACTGGCAAAAAGGAAACTTATAGACAAGAACACAAAATCAAAGAGATTCTGATACTGGAAGTAAGACGTGAGGGGCCTGTGGCATGGTTCAAGAGCCTGAATACACTCCCTGCATGGACAGATCCCACTTGGCCTGAGCACCACGGGCAGGCCCGCGTGGTCTCAGACCACTACGGAAATAATAGCAAAAACTATTTATGTTTTAAAGCGCCATACTTGGGGCTGGAGAGAGTATGGCGGGTCAGGTGCCTGCCCTGCACGCGGCAAGGCCGGGGTGATCCCAGCCCCACATGAGCCCCCAAGAGGGGTCCCTGAGCCAAAGCCAGGAGCCAGCCCTGAGCACCACTGGGGGCAGCCCCAAAACAAACACACACAAACAAACGCAATCATGCTTCAAAAACATGACTTTCAACTGATTTTAAGGACAGACACAGAAAGAACGTTTGGCTTTCGTACACACTTCAAAATCATCCTCAAAGCTGGGTGTATATTCATCAGCTCCAGCATTTTCCACATCGGTGTCTTCCTTCTCGATTTCCTAGAGGTGAAAAACAACAAATGTAACACAGAACTCAACAACATATTTGACTCTTGCAGATGGTCAGGAAGGGAAGTATTTGATTCATCTGACTTTTTAAAGTACTTATTTAAAAACGAGCATCACCTAGCTTCAAGTTCACTCGGAGTGCCGGCCCCCACAGGAGCACGACCAGGAGGGGACGCAGCTCCTGCCAGGCCTGAGCCTCGGGAGGCCACCGCTGCTCTGTGGAGCCCTGCCCGCTGGGAAGGGAGCATCAGCGGGCGGCACCCTGCAGGCCGGGCCCTGCACCGCCTTCCCCGCTCCTCACTGCACCTCAGGCCGGAGGCCAGTGGTCACCCCAAGGCCAGTCTGGCTGCTTCCCAGAGGAGCAAGTCCCCAGGAGAGCCCACTCAAACACACAAGGGGAGTCCGCTGGGCTGGGCCAAAGGGTGGCCAGGTCCAGGCTGGAGTGGTGCCAGCCAGGGCCTGACCCTCAGAGCCCAGACCTCCCAGGCCACGCCTAGACCCTGGGAGTGTGTGGGCAGAGGGCCATACCGCCCTGGCTACATGGGGAAAGGGCCACACTCACCAGGTACTCCTCACTGCCTTGCCTGGGAGCCGCCTTCCACACCACGGAGGTCTCTTCTCGGCTGTGCTAAAGGGCGAGACGGCGGGTCAGCCCCCCGAGGGCCAGGTGCCGAAGACCCCAGCCTCCCTGCAGGCCCCCCTCGCAGGCTCGCACATGAGGCTCCCAGAGACCTTCCCTGACTGTACACGTTCCTCAGAAATGGGCTGACAGGACATGCTTCGGCAAGGACACCGTGTGACCCCCCAGCATTGGGCACCCCGGGGCCTGGGGGACACCTGGAGACCGGGGATTCTTCAAAGGAAATGTGTCGTGTAGCCTGGACACTACTTCTGTCCACCCCACTGAGAGAATGAAGCATCCGGACAGGATCTCTTCTGAGCCTAATCAACTTCATGCCTTGCTGTGGCTTTTCCTGAGGGGTCGCACCCAATGGTGCTCAGTGGTGGCTCCCTCAGTGGAGTCCTCGAGGGACTGCCAGTGTGGGGCCACTGCACACTGAACCATGCCTGGGACAGAGCCGTGTATGGCACACGAGCAGTGCCCAGGGAGCAGGTGACTGAGGACGCAGCCGGGTGGGCTGCAGCCTGAGCTCTGTGCTACGCACCCGCCCTCCTCTGCCGGCACTGAGATTTGTCTGAAGGAACATTCAAGTGTGCCACCGCTGGGCATGGTATCCAGTCCCCTCACCTGCCAGTTTTTCAAACCGATCACTCCCCACTAGCCTTAGACGCTGTGTGCTTCGATCACTTCATCCTGGCGCTGGCAGCTGCTATTTGTCCCACTTTCAGTGGGTCTCAGTGTGTCCCAGGCCCAGCACTGGCACAGCGGGTAGGGCACTGGCCTGGAATGCAGCCAACCTGGGCTCGATCCTGGCATTCCATATGGTCCCCTGAGCACTGCCAGGAGGGATCTCTCAGAAGAGTCAGAAAAATCCCTGGGCACGGTCAAGTGTGACCAAAAACAAACAAATTTTAAAATACAGCATGCCTTATGAGCCCCCAGGATTGCCTCAGGAGAATGTCCAGAGTCACAGTAAGCAACTTCAGGGCAGGGCTGAAACAATGATACATGTAAGACGTTTGCCTTGCACGCGACAATCTAGGTTCGATCCCCGGCATTCCATATGGTCCCCTGAGCCTACCAGGTTTAATTCCTGAGTGCAGAGCCAGGAGGAAGCTCTGAGCACCACTTAGTGTGGACAGAAAGAAAGAAAGAAAGAAAGAAAGAAAGAAAGAAAGAAAGAAAGAAAGAGGAGAGAACTGAGAAGGAAGTCTTACCTTTCTCTTTTTGTCTTTGTCTTTATCTTTCCCACTGCTCTTTCCTAGATTCTCCACATGCCTGGAATTAAATTGGATCAGACTGGAAATTCATCTTCTACAGGACGACTCAAGGAAGACTCAACAAATGAGGCATTCTACATGCACCGTGGCTCTCACTAACATTTGGAGTTAATTAAGAACTGCCCCAGGTGGGCTGGAGAGAGAGAGAACAGTGGGCCGACCTAGGTTCAGTCCCCAGAATCCCATATGGTCCCCTGAGCACCACCAGGAGTGCCTCCTGAGTGCAGAGTCAGGAGTAAATCCTAAAACAAAACAAGAAAACTGCCTCAGGTGTCCAATCTTCTGCAGTGTTTATGATAACTCAGACAGGTGGAGTCATCCCAGCTCTGCCACTGCAATCATCCAAGACAGAAAATGTCTCCACTGGAGAAGTGTTTAAGACTTGTGTCTCTATTATGTTCTTGTAATGATACAGATCTACGTGCAATTGCACATCTAGACGTCTGCATCGTTAGCGTCAAATATTAACTTACATTTAATACCTCTATTTTCTAGAGAAAGGTTTACTTGAAATATGCTCGCTTGCAAATCATATTTCAATGTTAGCTGGGACTAAAATAAAGCTTCAAAATTCTGAAGTGATACTCAGTTTTCAGAATTTACATTCAGACAGAGCTGCGAACACAGCCCACCAGCGCACCCCACAGGTCCCGGGGAAGTGACAGCGTTGCTCAGGGCAGGCAATGATCCAGTGCCTGAGGTGGAGGGTCACCAGACACACCAGGAACAATGAGGCAGCTTATGCACTAGCCTAATCCGTGACCTTCACAAGACAAGTGTCCTAATCACCCAGGCAGGGAAGGTGGAGGGCCTCATCTCACACAAGACAGGCCTGGTTCTGACACACCCCACAACCACCTGTGCCCAACACACACGTGCACACATGCACGGGACACAGACACACATGCATATACACACAGGGCCCTCACTCTCGGTGCCCGACACACATGCATGCATGGGCTCACACACATGCTCAAACACACATGCACATGCATGCAAACACACATGCATATACACACTGAGCCCTCACTCTCAGTACCTGACACCCACGCATGTATGCACACACACGCTTACACACACATGCACGTGCACACACTCATGCATATGCACAGGGCCCTCACTCTCAGTGCCCAACACACAGACACATGTGCACGTGCACGTGCGCGCGCACACACACACACACACACATACACACACGGACCTTGCTCCTGGTGACAGAGCCCTGCCTGCTGACTGACCCATGGACTGTGGGTGTGCTGGGCAGGTGATGTCCACCCTCCATGCTCCATGCCTCTGACTCCCAACAAGCCCCATCCTGCTACGTGCCGCCAACCCCGGGACCCTCCAAGGTTTCCAAGCCCGTCAGGACCCAAGCATCAGGTGTGTGGGGTTCATCCGGCCTCCATGGCCTCTCAGAACCCGCAGGAGCACCCGAGCACGCTGAGCTCAGGGCAGACCCCACCCATGGGGCACTTACCGGCTGCTGCTGCGGTCCTGCCGTGCCCCCCGGCTCCTGTGATCCCCGTTCTGTCGAGAGAGCAGCAAGGCAGTGTGAGCAGAGGGGAGCCCCCAGCAGAGCCCACGGCCAGGCTCCCACCCACAGCAGAGCAACCCCGAGTCCTCTCAGTGGCAAATCCAGCACCTCGTGTGTCATGGGACAGTTGTAGGCTCGGGGACACCCTCGGCACTGAGAGACCCACATGCCACTTCCCCAGACAGCGTCCTGGCTGGGCTCAGAACGAGAACTCCCAGTTAGGGTCGACTGTGATACGAGAACTATGGAAGAGACAGAAGCTTCTGCAGGTGAGTGAGGGGCTTGCTCCGCTGCACAGGGCACCCCCCGGGTGCAGCCGTCTGGGACCAGGTGCGCTGCTCCTGAGAGTCCCCTCAGTCCTTCAAAGGAGCCAACTGTGAGAAATAAGGTGAAAACTGGGCACCAGGAGAGTTCAGGCTACATACAAGGCTCTGCACGACCTGCTGAGCACTGCTAGTGAGGCGCGGAGCCCCTCACAGTCCTGGTGAGGCCTGGAGCCCCTCACAGCCCCAGGTCAGGGCCCGGAGACCCTCACAACTCTGGGTGTAGTCCAAAGCCAAAAACAAACTACATGAAAGGGGCTGGAGAGCTAGTACAGTGCTCCGAGTACTTGGCTTGCACACGGCCGACAGGGGATCAATTCCCTGAGTTCCACCAGGAGTGATCCCTGAGCACAGAAACAGGAGTAAGCCCTGAGTGATGCCAAGTGTGGTCCCAAAACAAAACAAAAACACAGGATTTGACCATTGTGTAATTGAAAACCAAGCACAAAAGTTTGTAAGTCTACAACTGTACCTCATGGTGTCTCACTAATAAAAATTAAAAAAATAAAAAATAGAAACACAGGACTAGGAAGTGTAGTTTCCAGGCCAGTGCCCCACCCAGACCCCCCATGCAACGCCCACCAAAGGGCAGCTCTGGACAGCCAAGGACACGCACAGGACGCACTGCCCCCAGAGAGCAGCAGAGACCGCAGGCCTCAGCACGTCCACCCCCAGATGCGTTCTCCCAGGCAGCTCTCTGAGCACTTGGTGTGAATTCAGAGGGGCCAGGGCCAACCCTGAATGGACGGCCTGCCAGTGGACACAGAGCCTGGCAAAGAGGCTGTCCCTGAGGAACGCCACCAAGTGTCCCAGACGCCAACCAGCCTTGACCCCAGAGAGGGACCCAGGGCCGGGAAACTGCAAGAAGGCCGAGCGAAGGCGGACGCAAGAGCCCAGCGTCAAAGCCTGGGGCCCCGAGCACTCTAGGAGCCTCCCTGTGGCCCCCAACACCACTTGAGATCCCCCAATAAACCTTGGGCAGGAGCTGGAGAGAGAGGACAGGCGGCGCCAAGGCACTTGCTCTGTACCCACAGGCCCTGGCTCGAATGCCCAGCACACTACAGGGTCACTCCTGAGGACAGAGCCTGGTAACAGCCTCTGACCAAAGGGGTGGACCCAAGACAAACAAAGTGTGGGACCAGATTTCTGATAAACAGATGGAGAATTTCCCAGGCGAATCTTTAAGAAAGAAGAAGGAAGGAAAGGAAGGAAGGAAGGGAGGGACGGAGGGGGCGAGAGCAAAGGAAACACAGCAACCATCAAAAGGCTCAACACCAAGGCCCCATGGTGGCAACCAACGACAGCCAGGAACGACAGCCAGGAACAGACGCTCGTGGCACCCCATCCGTGGCCAGCATACTCCAGCACACAGCTGGCGGCGAGGGGCGCAGAAGAGCATCTCAGAACCATGCAGGCCACGTGGGGGGGGGGGGGGGGAGGAACCCTGCAGAACCTCCCCCCAGCACTGAGGCCAGAAAGCTCTTCCTCCCAGAGAACAAGGCTGGGTGCAGGACAGTGGGAACACAGGCACCAAGTGGCCGGGGCAGACGGCCACCACCCACAGATGCACCGGAAGGATGTGCAGGAGACCCTGAAGGCTCCTAGGAACGATAATAAACACTGCGCACCCGGAGGCCGTAGGATCAATAATATACAAAACCAGGGCCTGGTGAGGCCCTGAGCCCTTCCCTGGCCAAGCAGTCTGGGCGCCAGGTGTGGCCTGGCCCCGAGCACCCTGGGCCCTGCCCGAGACCAAGTCAACACAGAGAACTCACAGCGAGAGGGGCCAGAAGGCGCGGCCTGTGCGGACCCAGGACGGGAGGCCACCAGCACCTGGCCCAGAAGTGCAGCAAGCTGCCCGTGGCCCTGGACGCGGCCTGGACCCTCCCACAGCTGCCTCACGCCCTGGTTTCTGCAAACACCGGGGCATGGACAACAGGCTTGCTCCATAGGTGAGGCCAGACTGCCGGGAGAGGGCGTGCACGCGCCAGGAGTCTCCTGGGCGAGTCACTGTCCGAGGGAGGTGGCAGGGAGCTCGCCCAGGGCCTCCCCACAGCCGGCCAAGGCAGCCCACGAGGTGCTGGGCTCGAGCATGAGTCCCGAGTGGTCAGGACACAGCCGGCTTGCCGGACGCGGGCGAGGACCCCACACGCCTCACACAGACCCCGGAGAGCAGTGCGAGGACAGCGCCAGCAGCCGGGCCAGCCCGAGCCGTGCGGACACTCGGGCCCACTGCCAGGCAGAGCCAGCTGGCGGCCCCCACGGCGGGCAGGCCCGGCACACACCTTGGCCTCCCTCCTCCTGTGCTCGTCCTTGGGCGGCCGCTCCTTCCTCTCGCTGCCGCTGCCGCGGTGCCTCTCCCCGTCCCCGTGGGAGCCGTCCTTGTGCCGCCGCTCCCGGGGCCGCTCCTCGCCCTCCCTGTCCGAGAAGGGGCTGCTCTTGTCCTTGGGGTGCCGCTCCCTCTTCTCGGCGCTGCTCTTCTCCCGGTGCCGCCTCTCCCGGTCCGGGTCTCGGTGCCGGCGATGTCTCCGCTCCCCCTCCTCCTTGTAGAGCCAGTACTTGAGGGGGTTGTCTTTGCTGTCGCCGTACTGCAGCTGGGGACAGGGGCGCACACGTGAGCACACGGAGCACCCGGGCAGTGACACGAGGAGGCAGACGCTGGAAACCATCCCCCACCTGCTGCCACAACTCCTGGCCCTGCCGTGCCAGCCCCGGTGACACCCCCTCGCCTCCTGCACTCGGGATCACCTCTCGCACCTGCTCCCACTTCCTCCCACTTCCCGCAGCCGTTCTCACCTCCCATGCCCGCCCACCTCCCGTACCCATTCTCACCTCCTGCACCCACGCTCACCTCCCTCACCTGCTCTCACCCCCTTCCTCGCTCTCACCTCACCCCCCACGCCCACTCTCACCCACTCTCATCTCCCACACCCACTCGCACGCATCCTCTGTACCTGTTCTCACCTCCCACACTGGCCCTCACCTCACCTATCCACTCTCAACTCCGGTACCCAGGCTCACCTCCTGCATCCGCTCACCTCGCACACTCACTCTCACCTTCCACACCTGCCCTGACCTGGCTTCAGGAGGGAGGAGCCCATTCCTGCACCCACCCCTATGTCCTGGGTGACACTGACCCTTCCAGCCAGCTTCTCTTGCCCTGAGATGGAAAACAGTGTCCAAACACCCAGAAACAAAACTAGAAATACAGGGGAAAAACCTAAGAGATAGCCTAATACTCCCTAAATTTAAGCCATTCTGAAAACAATGATTCCACAAGTCAAATTCCAACCCGTGAGGAGCACCAGCATAGCGAGCCCACACTAGTGGCCCAGCAGGGCTTGCACAGGGTCAATCCTTAAAGTTCTCTTGGAATCCACATGCCCTGGTGGGAACAAGACACAGGGCCGGAGAGACAGACAGCAGGCTGGGCGCGTGCCTCGTGCAGGACTGACCGACCTGGGTTCAATGGCCAGAATCACACACAGCCCTGGTAGGAGTAATCCCTGAGCACAGAGCCAGGAATCAAACTCTGCGGCACTGCTGGGTGTGGCCCCCAAACAAACCAGAACACCCCATGCAGAGAGCAGCTACCAGACCCTGCCTTTGATTCAACGCTCAAGTGCCAATGGCTTCTGAGTCAAGCCAGCAGGGATTAAGCCCAGCAAGAGCCTAGAGAGCTGAGTGGGCCGGAGCACACGCTGGGCCTGTGAGGCCCGGGTCCGACCCCAAGCACCGCATGGGTCCCTGGGCACGATCAGCGGTGGCCCAAGTAACAAGGAGCCACGCTGCTGCCCAGTTGTCGCTTAGGACATGAGGAGTCACGCGCTGGCATGGCACCCTTGGGAGAGAAGAGGGAGCTGACAGCAGCCCAGCTAGCTCGTTGCTAGAAGCCACTCACGAGGGAAAACTGAATCAACTTTAAAACTTCACTTCGTGAATGTCTTTATAAAAATATTTCAACGCACCATCCCAAAAAACCCTCAAGGGGTTGGAGCTATAGCACAGCGGGTAGGGTGTTTTGCTTTCTACACAGTCGACCGGGGTTCGATTCCCAGCATCCCATGGTCTCCCAAGCACCGCCAGGAGTAATTCCTGAGTGCAGAGCCAGGAGTAACCCTTGTGCATCGCGGGGTGTGACCCAAAAAGTCAAAACATAAATAAATAAAACCACCCTCAAGTGTCCACAGGACTGTGACTTGCCCACAATGAACATGTGTGTCTGGCAACTCATCACAGCAGTAACCTGAGACAGTGCTCAGATGTGTTCAGTTTGTAGCTTATGAGCAGCAAATGTCCTGTAGAATGACATTGCCACAGGGAGCTTAGATTTATCGGTTACATCCATCACAGTGCTCCCGAGTCACTCCCATTCCTCTGTTTATCTGTAAACTCTTCCTTGTGCTCTCCTCCCCAGCCAGTTAGTCACCTTTTCTCCCTAATCAGATTCTGTTAGCTTGTAAGATCAGATCCTTCTAAGGACACTGGACTTGTATTGTAAGTTATGTCCTTTGCACAGTTTACCTTAAAGCAATGTCCTTTCTGTATGGACACAGGGAAACAGTTAGTATTATGCTTTGTAACGTGGGAGTTGATTGACCCCGAATAATATTCACTCCTGGGCATCTGCTTTATTGACTCAGCTGCCCTTAGTTCCTAGCACCCCAAAAGCAGGGTCACAACAAGGGACTGAATGGACCCAGGGCAAGCCATGAGCTACCCTGGCATTGAAATGAGCCAGGCCTTTGGCATCACGATACTCAACTATAAGTTGAGGGCATGATCATGGACAAATGCTGTCATGATCCAAAAGTAAGTAATGACGGGGCTGGAGCGATAGCACAGCGGGTAGGGCGTTTGCTTTGCACTCAGCCAACATGCCCGACACGGGTTCGACTCCCAGCATCCCATATGGTCCCCCGAGCACCGCCAGGAGCAATTCCTGAGTGCATGAGCCAGGAGTAACCCCTGAGCATCGCCGGGTGTGACCCAAAAAGCAAAAAAAAAAAAAAGTAAGTAATGACGAGACTAGGACCCTGCTGGGGCTAGGAAGACTAACCTGGCCTGAGGACTGATATATATATATATGTATATATATATATATATATATAGCGGAATATCTAGTGAGATGTCCTCAGGAAGAACCAAACTGTAAGTTTATCTCTTACTGTGCTCATACAGAATGACATTGCTTGAAATATTAGAAGTAAACTTACTACAACTGTTTAAGTAGATTACTAGCTGAGGAAAGAACACACCCTTGTTGGGCTCCCACCCTTGAGCAGATCTGCTAATAATCTGAAATAAATCTATCTCTTTAGATGAGATTTAATCCTTGAGTTAATCTCCTCGAGGAGTGGTCTTACCTCTCTTTGCTGATTTGTTAATGTTCAACCCATCTTTGTGTCACCACGCCACGTGATTGCCATATAAACTAACACTGTAAGCTCAAAGGGGGCTCGAGAGAGCAGAGACTGAGGCTCAGGCTGAGGCTCGGGCAGAGGCTCAAACCGAGGTGTGGGCTCGAGCTCGGGAGCCTGGGCTCCAGAGGGCAGAATCAGAGGAGAGTGAAGACTGGAATAAACTACAGTTGATACCGACCAGCCTGGCCCTCGTTCACTGCTTCGCCTGTCCATCACCATCGACCTCCCTGGGGTGGGGGAAACGGCTCAAGATTACCGAACGCAGAGAGCAGGAGAGACAGAGCGCTGCCGGACCTTCAGAAAACACACAATGTCACATCCACAAAGATAAAGGTCAGGGTCCAGGAACATAGCCTGGTGCCCAACAGGGGCCTGCATCTGTGAGTCAAGTCCACGTCCTCCCAGCACCGCATACACATACCTGACCACACTGATTCCTGGGAGGGCACACACACTTGCACATGACATGCACTGGCATGAACACACGTGTGCACACACACCTGGGACACACAAGTACACAGACACCGATGAGGATACTCACATGTACAAAGGGCCCTTGCTGGCAGGTAGGACATAAACCTTACATTATCAGAAACAGTTTGCATGGAGCTGGAGCGATAGCATAGCGGGTAGGGCATTTGCCCTGCACGCAGCTGACCCAGGTTCAATTCCCAGCATCCCATAGGGTCCCCTGAGCACCGCCAGGAGTAATTCCTGAGTATATGAGCCAGGAGTAACCCCTGTGCATCTCCGGGTATGACCCAAAAAGGAAGAAAAATAAAAGAAGAAACAGTTTGCAGCAGAATACGCTTTTCCTTTTATCTCTACGGTCCAAACATTCAAAGTGACCAAGTGCTGCGTGGGAATCCGAGAGAGACGGACCCGGCCACAGAAGCCCTGGACAGCTTTCCCAGCCTGTTCCAGATGCTGCAAAGAGACGTCAGTACACAGAAACCCTCTGGAGTCCTCATACCTTCCGTTCCCGGTATCTTCTCTCTCTCTCCTCATCCCCTCTTTCAGAGTCTCCATCTCTCCTGTCATCTTCGTTCCGTGCTTTACTTCCTGCAAAACAAAGCAACACCTTCATACCTGGACTCGAGGGACACCAGATCCTGACACCTGAGATAGTCTTCACAGTGCGCCCTGCGTGGATTGATGCCACCCCAGTACCTCCGATCTGAAGACAGTACTGAGAGATGGCCACGCCTCGTGGCAGAGCCCTGGTGGCAAGCGAGACAGAGACAGAGACAGAGACAGAGACGTACCTGACCGGAAGCAGCAAGCTGCCGCTCACCAGCCCAGGTTGTCGTGAGGAAGTAAGGAGGCAGAGGGCGCCCTGGGAAGGAGCCAGGCCCCACTCGAGGCCGACTGGGATTCGTGTAAGAAGCCGTCATTTGTCTAATGATAGTCGTGAATGGCTAGAGAAACAGGCCCTGTGCTGCACGCAGGACGCCCGGCTCCAGGCCCCGGCACCAGGCCAGGGAAGACACGTCCATGTGCGAGGCAGAAAGGACACTCACTTCCTCGGGGTTCCTGGGAACCGGGACACTGATGTCTGAACACTGCTTAGAACAAAACCAGTACTTTGAGGGGTTCTTGATGATGAAACATAATATTGCTCATCAGAGCACACACTCTATTTAGAGATTTACTAACAGCAAATGTAAACTTTTTTCATAGTAACGCTGACAGCAATGAGAAGGCTGCAACTCATCCACTGATCGAGCTTCACAGCACGAAGGACTGAAGCACCAGGGGCCTGGACGGTCCCAGAACCCCAAGGTGCTGAGTCCTGTAGGGTGGGCCTGTGTCCCAGCACAGGGGGCGTGAGCGGTACTGGGTTAGGAAGCGGCCCCTGAAGCACTGCCTGGGAGGCCCCCCAAAAGAGAAAAACACGAAACACAAATGCGACAGAGACACGGCAGTGCAGAGCGCACACATGATGGGGCCGTCACTGCAGGCCCAAGGCTGAGGTCTCGGAGCCACAGCCAGGCCCAGGGGTCGCACTCACCTGAGCGGCCCTTGCGCTCGGCACGCTCCAGCAGCTGCCGGCCCAGGCTGTGGTGCAGGCTCTGCCACACCTCCTCCTTCCGGCCGCGGCGGCCCAGATCTGCCTCCAGCTCCCGCCGCTCCTTCCGCTTCTCCCGGTCCCGCTCCCGGTCCCGCTCCCGTGCCTCCTTCTTTCTCTCGCGAGGCTTCTCCCGGTCACGCTCGCTGCCGCTCTCCCAGACCGCGTGGCCATCCCTCTGGGCCGGGTCCCGGGGCCTGTGCTCACGGTGCTCCAGGCCGTCGGGGTCAGCCTCCCTGCGCAGCTTCTTCTCTCGGTGCTTCTTCTCGTCCCTGCGACTCCCGGACTGAGCACCCTGCGGGGAGCAGAGCAGGTTTTACCGGCCCCAGCCCAGCAGGAGGGGCTGGACGAAGAGGCCAGAGCCAGCAGGGGGAGGCCAACCTCGGCCGTGTGACGGGATCACTCAGACGTGCAGCTGGCTAAAGCCAACCGGGAGACAGAGTGACCAGAGAGGAACGGTGCAGGGTGGAATCCGGCCCCTGGGCTGTCCGCCAGGCCCACGCCAAGAACATGGAGCTCACTGGCCAATGCCGTGTGCAGGAACACGTGCCCCCCACGCAGAGGGAGGCAGGCACAACGGCTAAGGGACACAAGGACACACACATACACAGAGATACACAGACGACCTTGCAGGACACACTCACAGACACAGACAGACAGACAGACACGGCGGGACACACACATACAGACTCACGGGGATACACACAGGCATACCGGGACACACACACATACACAGACACAGCGGGACACACACATACATAGACACATAGACACAGCGGACACACACAGACAGACTCACAGGGATACACACAGCACACCGGGACACAGACACAGACACAGTGGGACACACTCATACAGACACACAGACACACACATACAGACTCACAGGGATACGCAGACGACACAGCAGGACACACTCAGACAGACACACAGGCAGACCCACAGGACATGCGCACAGACGTACCGAGCTGCGCTCAAACACACAGACGTGTATGGACACGGAGGGCGCTGCACACGTGGAAGCGGATGAGAAGGCATGGCGCCCCTCTCGTGGCTAGCCCCAAGGCCCAAAGCCGCAGGCTCCGAGCGGGAGCTGGTGAGCACGGCAGCCCCACGCACCCGACCCGCGCTCCCGCAGACGCGCCCAGCCCTCAGGGGCCAGGCTCCTACCCAAAGGTGTCTCCTGAGGTCATCTGCTTTCCAGGTGTCGTCTTTGGTTCTCCTCTACGAGCAAAGCAGCAAGCGGAGTTTCGGAAGCGGCACGGGCGCGAGCTCTGTGATGCTTCTCGCTAGGGCATCAAGCCCCTGGCCACGAGCGAGCCTGGACACGCGGGAGATGCCAGCGCCTCTTCTGGGACCGCGGCACACCCCGGCCCCACCCCCAGGAACCTGAGCTGAGCGCAGGCCGAGGGCCCCCTGGGTGGCAGAAAGCCCGCGGCTCTCGCAGTCGGGGCCGGCCCCAGGCCACCCTCGGGCCCCCGCAGGCCGAGAGCGCGGGCAGGGCCAGCCAGAGCCGGGGAGACCCCGCCCACCGCCAGCACCGCCGGGGGGTGGTTCCCGGCTGCGGGGCCAGGCGCTGCCGCCCCCGGCCCGCCAAAGAGCGGGGGTCTGCGGAGAGGGGGGTCTGCGGTGCTCGAACCGAGCGAACCCGTTCAGGAGGCCGCCGAAATCTCGCGCGGAAACGGCGCGGCGACCCGAGCGTGGCCTCCGTCCACGCCCGCGAGCAGGGGGCGCCTCGACGGGGGCACGGGCGGGCCCCGACCCCGCAGGCCGCGCGGGGCCGGCTCTCCCCCCACGCAGCCCGGGCCGTCCGGGCGCTCGCGACGGCCGGTGCGGGCGGCCCCGCGCCCAGGAGCCGCCCCGCGTCCCCCGAGCCGCGCCCTCCGCTCGGCCGCACCCACCTTCCCGGGCTCCATGGCTGCTCCGGGCCCCGGCGGGCCGCGGCGTCCCGCCTCCTAGCAACCGGCCCGGCGCGCCGCCCGAGCCCCGCCGGCCCGGCATGCCCCGCGGCCCGCAGCGCGCCTGCGCGACCCCGTCTCCTAGCAACCGGCCGGCGCGACCCGGGGCGACCGAGCAGCGCCGGCCCGGCCAGCCCCGCGGCCCGCAGCGCGCCTGCGCGGCCCCGTCTCCTAGCAACCGGCCGGCGCGACCCGGGGCGACCGAGCAGCGCCGGCCCGGCCAGCCCCGCGGCCCGCAGCGCGCCTGCGCGGCCCCGTCTCCTAGCAACCGGCCGGCGCGACCCGGGGCGACCGAGCAGCGCCGGCCCGGCCAGCCCCGCGGCCCGCAGCGCGCCTGCGCGGCCCCGTCTCCTAGCAACCGGCCGGCGCGACCCGGGGCGACCGAGCAGGGCCGGCCCGGCCAGCCCCGCGGCCCGCAGCGCGCCTGCGCGGCCCCGTCTCCTAGCAACCGGCCGGCGCGACCCGGGGCGACAGAGCAGCGCCGGCCCGGCCAGCCCCGCGGCCCGCAGCGCGCCTGCGCGACCCCGTCTCCTAGCAACCGGCCGGCGCGACCCGGGGCGACCGAGCAAGCGCCGGCCCGGCCACCCCGCGGCCCGCAGCGCGCCTGCGCGACCCCGTCTCCTAGCAACCGGCCGGCGCGACCCGGGGCGACAGAGCAGCGCCGGCCCGGCCAGCCCCGCGGCCCGCAGCGCGCCTGCGCGACCCCGTCTCCTAGCAACCGGCCGCGCGGCCGTGGACGACTGAGCTGCCGCCGAGGCGCGCCCGCGCGCGTTCCGTGAGGCGGGGCTGGGGTCCGGGCCGCCCGGCGAGGCGGCGTGCTGGGTCGGAGCGTGGGCCTCCAGCGGGTCTGCGCCGGGGGAAACTGAGGCGTGGCCTCCTGCTCGGGCCGGCCCCGCGCGAGGCAGGTGGGGGGTCCGGGGCGCCCCTGCGGCCGCGCGGGGAGGAGAGACCCGAGCGGGGGCGGGGGCGGGGCCGGCCGGGGCGGGGCGCGGGGCTCGGCGCTCGGGGTCGCCCCCGCGGGCGCCTCCCCGCGGGTCCCGGTCGCCCCAGCCCCGCCCAGCCGCCCCCCCCGCCCCCCGGGGCCCCTGCCGCGAGCGCCCGGCCGCGTGGCGGGTCCGCGGAGGCTTCGGAGGAGCCCGCGCGATGCTGTCGCGCGCGGGAAGCCGCCGGGCTCGGGCCGAGCGCGTCCTCCCCGCAGGTTCGGGACGGCTTGTGCCTCAGAGCTGTTTGTTTTCTCTTCTCCCCGGGCGGGGGTTCGATTTTCCTGCCCCCCAGTCACGGGTCCTGTTCCACCAGCTGCCGGGACCACGCGGTGCCGGGGGTCCAAACCAGGCCCCCGCGCGCCCACCTCGCGAGCTGCAGCTGTTCTCGGTGCTTGCTTGCCCCAAGTTTCGTCTTTGCCTTCCGTGGGGAAGAGGCCAGTCCACGCCCGGCGACGCTTAGGGGCCGTGTGGCACTGGAAAGGGACTTGAACCCCGCAGGGCCATAGGCAGTGCGTGTGCTCTAGCGCCGAGCTGTCGCCCGGCCCCTGCAGACACGCTTTGGAGAAGAGGCCTCCCAAGCAGTGCTCACGAGCACCAGGGGTCGCTCCGTGATTCCCCGCCAGCAGGCCTGTGGCTTGGTGCAAGGAAGGGCAGAGAGCGGCACGCCGCTTAGGCCCTGCAGTGTGAGGATACGTGGTTCACCGGTGCTGCTGGGGGCTTTCATGACAGTGCTCAAGGGTCTTCTGGGGCTGTACTGCGTGATGCTTATTAGGACCTTGGGGTACCCAGTGAGTGCAGGTAGACATGTGCCCTAACCTCTGTACTGTCTCCTGTTCCCTGAAGACATTTTTTATGCATCTGTGTACTGGCAATAGCAGCTTACAATTATGGCTGTGTCCTCTTGTTTGGGATACAAAGGCCATTGACTCAGCTCCTTGCTTGAAATAAATTAATAGCTCCAAAGATCTCTTCAGATTTCATTGTGTGCTGGATTTGGTTGCGACAATACTACCTTCATTTCCTCTCATCAGCACTTAGGAAGCCTGTAAAAGGGAAAGAGCTTGTGAAGAGCTCCATGCCTCTTTTGCAAACCACAACACCCAAGAGGAGAGAGAGAACAAAAGGGAATGCCCTGCCACAGGGGCAGGGGGGGATGGGGAGGATGGGGGGTGGGAGGGACACTGGGATCCCGTGGTGGTGGGAAATGGGCCCTGGTGGAGGGATGGGTATTTGATCATTGTATTATAATTGAAACCCAAGCACAAAAATTTGTAAGTCTACAACTGTACCTTATGGTGTCTCACTAATAAAATTTTTTTAAAAAATAAAAGTTTAAAAAAAGAGTTCTTGAAGAGAAAGCTTGCAATTTCTCGGATTTATTTGGTATCTATGCCAAAAGTAGCTTCAAGGGCTGGGGAAACAAGACAGCAAGCACAGTGCTTGCCTTGCTCACGCCTGGTTCAGGTTTAGTCACCAGCATTCCGTATGGTCCCGAGTACAATCACATGTAACTCCTGAGTGCAGAGCCAGAAGTAACTCTTGAACAGTACTAAGTATGGGCCCTGTCCCCCCCCCCCCATACCCCAGAGAACACTAGAATTCTAAAATAGCTTCACTCCAGATCTTTGCATCTGCTCATTCTTTTCATTTGCATCACATCTCCAGGACATAGGCATGTCGGTGTTTTCAGATGAGGCTGAGAATGAAAAGGACAGTTCATTGGTCTGAGGGCACAGGTGGGCTGAGGCCCTGTCCGTTCTCTGTCAACTGGGGAAACAGCTGGTACTGAAAGCTTCATGCTCTGCTAGAAGTGTGGGGAAAGCCACCAGCCTGCTCAACAGGCGGCTGGGTCTGTGTGTCCCTTTCCCCTATGCTGTCTGACCAGCCCACCCTCCACCGCATCCAGGCAGTCCCTTCTCTCTCCCCTAAGCTCTCTCGCAACTGCAATCTTCAGTCCCCGAACAGTGGAGTTCCTCAAAGGCACTGTTTTCATCGGCTTTGCCAATGCTATGTCTTCTTTCTCACTATCATATTTGTAATTATAACAACAGAGAAAATTAAGAAATCTCCTCAGGGCAGGGGAATAGCTCCTGGGGCTGGAGGTGTGCCCAGTATTGCAAGGTGTAGCCCTGGAGGTTCCCAGCACCACGGGGGAGGCCCACAAAGCAAAACAGAAAACAAGAATATCCCTGACGGGGGCTGAAGCCATAATACAGCAGGCGGGGCATGTGCCGTGCACACAGCTGACCCAGGTTCAAACCCCAGCTCCACATATGGTCCCCCAAGCCCCACTATCAGTGATCCCTGAGTGCAGAGCCAGGAGTTAGTCCTGAACACCAGCAGGTGTGGCTCCAAAACCACAAAGAATATCCCTGACTACCTGTGTTGTGTGGTGCTGAACCTCAAACCTAGGGCCTCACAAGGCAAGAGCTCTACTGTTGAGCTATATCCTCAACCTCCCCTTCAACTTCTTAATTATTTTCTCCCCTTCCACTTATTAAATAATGATTTTCTAAGGGCTGGAGAGATAGTACAGCAAGCAGGACACTTACTTTCCTTCTATGTGACTGACCCTGGTTCTATGCCCAGCACCTTAAATGGTCCACTAAGCCTCACCAAGAGTGATCCCTGAGTGCAGATCCAGTAGTAAACTGAACACAGCCAGATGTGGCCCTCAAAAAAATTTTCTAAGTAACATATTTCTTCTATCATATTTAACAAATCACTGAGTAATGATAGAATGTTAGGGGTAGAAAGTTAAATAAAATGTTATCTAATAACTCATAACTACCAAGAGAGAAAAATATGCAAACAACTAAAAAGTAATGAATATGTGAGACTACTCACAAATGTGTTGAAAAAGGAAGTGACTAAGAGCTGCCTGCAAGAAAGATCAAGGTTGGGTAGAGTTTATTTCAGTTGGACCTGGAAGCGCAATTGCCAATTAGGGAGACTGAGAACATTATATATATGTGTGTGTGTATATATATATATATATATATATATATATATAACACGTATATATTTGCCTTGGGCTGGAGCAATAGCACAGCGGGTGGGGCGTTTGCATTGCACGTGGCCGACCCAGGTTCGATTTCTCCGTCCCTCATGGAGAGCTCTCCAAGTTACCGAGAGTATCCTGCCCACATGGCAGAGCCTGTCTAGCTCCCCGTGGTGTATTCTATATGCCAAACACAGTAACAACAAGTTTCACAATGGAGACGTTACTGGTGCCCGCTCTAGCAAATCAATGAACAACAGGAGGACAGTGCTACAGTGCAGTATATATGTGTGTGTGTATATGTATATATGTAATATAAACATACATATATATATATATTTGTAGGGGTGGGTGGTTTGGATCATCCCCGGCTGTGCTCAGGGCTTACTCCTGGCTCTGCACTCAGGGATCATTCCTGGCAGACTCAGGAGCCATATGGGATGTCAGCAATAGAGCCCTAGTTAGCCATGTGCAAGACAAACGTCCTCCCCAGTGTTCTATTGCTCCAGCCTCAAAGAAAGAACATTTCTAAAGGAAAACAAATATTGGGACAAGTAGAGAGTCAGGAAAGGGAAATGCAGTAATTGACTAGAGTTACAATGTCAGCAACATAGTGATTATAAAAAATTACCAGGCACAACTTCAAAGTTGGAAAGAGACAGGTGAGAGCACATTTAATGATGTCTTTTGCCAAACAAGAAAAATATTACTGGTTTCCATGTCTTATGTGTTTGAGTGTCATTTTACACTTCTCTGTCCTACTGTTTCACCTGTCAACCCACCACAGATCAGTCATAGTCCACATACTAACAGCCCTACTGCTGGTAGCTCTGCACTGGGCACCGCAGGGCTGTGGCACAGGGTGCGTCTGGGAGCGAGGTTCAGTGGTAGAGATGAACCTTAGGAGGGACACATGGGAAGCAAAATTAAGTGAGGGTCAGGTGAGGTGAGGCTATGCTGAGTCAGTGAAGAATCTGACTCATGACCACCAGGCTGTGACTGAAAACCCCAAGGAGATTGTCCCGAGTGTGTCTGACTTCAGGAGGAGGTGGACATATCAGAGACTTGTCCACTTCCTTGGAAGAAGACGCAGATGACTGAGTCAAGAGGTA